TTTTGGGATAGACCATATACTGTGATGCTGTACAAATAATACATTTTATACTAAAAACGATGATTACTTAAAAGAAAATAGATGTGACCCAGCAAAACCACAGTTTGGCAGTTGTCACTGGTACAAGACAGTTGAAAAACCAGGCAGAAGGCTTCCAGCATCTACAGGAAATAGGTATTAGGGTCCATGTGCTGCAGCAGAATGAGAGGAAGGTTAGGTTAGCAGGCTGGCTGATCCTGGAGGCAGGGAGGGAGAAGGGGAAGAAAGGAGAGGGAAAAGGAGGAGAACAGAGCGGACAGATAGAGGAAGGCTGGGAGCTCACGATAAGAAAAACTCCAGAAGAAATGCTTGCTGTTTAGAGCCCAGGGAACGGGGGTGACCAAATTCTGGTGAATTGCCATCGTTGCTCTGAAAAAAACAAAAGACTAAAATGTGGTTCCAAGATAAGGAATTTATAGTGGATTTGAAAGGCAGTACAGTGCAGTGGAAAGAGTATCTGAATCCTGATGGGCATATCCCCTCTTCTCCCAGAGCCTTGTTTTCCTCATTTGTAAAAATGGAGGTGATAGTACTTGAAATACCCACTCTATTGGCTTGTTAGTTTTTTTTGTTTGTTTATCTGTTTTTGGAGACAAGTAGGATTAAGTGACTTGCCCAGGATCACGCAGCTAGTAAGCCTCTGAGATTGGATTTGAGCTCAGGTCCTCCAGACTCCAGGGCTGATGCTCTCTAGCTGCCTCTTTGATTTCATATTCTACTGTGTGACTTTGGGCAAGTCAATTCACCCTCTCTCTACCTCAATTTTTTTTCAATTGTAAAATAATCTTAACTATCTACCTTACAGCTAGTTGGTGCAATGGATAGATTGCTGGGCCTACAGTGAGGAAGACTCATCTTCTTGAGTTCAAATCTGCCTTTAGACACCCTTACTACCTGTGTAAGCAAGTCACTTAACCCTGTTTGCCTCAGTTCCTCATCTGCAAAATGAGTTGGAGAAGGAAATGGCGAACCACTCCAGTATCTTTGCCAAGAAAACCCCAAATGGGGTCATGAAGAGTTAGACACGACTGAATATCAACCTTACAAGGTTTGTTATCAAGAGAGTAGGTTGTAGGGAGCAGTTAGGTGGCTGCTCGGTGGCGCAGTGGATAGAGTACCAGCCCTGGAGTCAGGAGGACTGGAGTTCAAATTCGACCCAGACACTTGACTGACTGTGTGACCCTGGGCAAGTCACTTAACCCCATTGCCTAGCAAAAAAACAAAAAAAAAGAGAGTAGGTTGTGAACCTTAAAGGGTTAGATGTAAAATACAATTAGGAGGTAGAATATGAAAGGGTAAATAGAAACTCTAGTTGTGAAGAGGATGTTTTGTAATATATAAAAGAGGTTTATATGTTAAAAAAAATTTATTAAGGAAGTTCAGGATCAATTTGATGAGTATCTTCTCATTCAACTATTTAATCAACTTGATGAGATTAGAGGGAATGTGTCTTTGTCTAAATGTGCCTTTCATGAAGGTAAATCTTATTCTGGGGACACAGGGAACGCCTCTAATTGGTTGCCATGATTGGACTGACTCCAAGATAGCACGTCAGGAATTCTCAAACTTTTTGGCCTCAAGATCCCTTCACATTTTTAAAAAGTTGTTGAGGACCCCAAAGAGCTTTTGCTTATGTGGGTTATAACTTTATATTAATTGTATTACAAATTAAAACTGATAAAAATTGTACATATTTATTAGTTCATTTAAAATATTTATTAATCCATTTAAAAACAATAGCAAAGCCATTATATGTTAACATATTTTAATGAAAAGTAAATATATTTTCCAGAACAAGAAAATTAGTGAGAAGAGTGGCATTGTTTTACATATCTTTGCATATCTCTTTAATGTCTAGCTTAATAGAAGACAGCAGGATTGTCACATTTGCTACTGCATTCAATCTATTTCGATATGTTGCTGTGTGGTTGAAATGTTTGATGAAAATCTGGCCTTACACAGATAGGTACTTGGACAAGGGAGGAGTATTTAAATAAACAAATATTGTCTTAGTATTATTATTAAAAAAATAGGTTTGACTTTGTGGACCCTCTGAAAGGTTGAGACTCCCACCCGTCCTTGGACCACACTTTGAGAACCCCTGTAGACCTCTGCCTCCCCACGCCCCCACCCCAGAGCCAATGGAGAAGGACTCTTGTTGGAAGAGCAATCCAACATTCTGGCTATACAAGCTGGACACTGACCCAATTCTGTTCTAGTGCATGCTGGGGAGTTTTCCTTCCCTGCTAGGCTTGGGTGGAACTCCTCCGTGGTCAGGACTTTCCCCAGCCACTCCAGCAATTCCTGTCTCAGGTGGGAAGGGTGAGTTGTAGGCTAAGTGATCCCCACCTACCCTGGCCCGGGTCCCTGTCTCAGGATCAACCTCACATTCAGGACTGGGAGGAGGAGAGAATAATACCTCAGCTAGGCAAACGGGGGAAGGGAGTGTGAGCTTTGGAGAAGAGGACCACCCATGTGACTCTTGCCAATGGAAAACTCCAGCCAAGTTAGGAAGGAAAGGGGGAAGTAGGATGGCACCTTTCTCCATGATATGACTATGAGTTGCTCACCTAGTGCAGATGGAAAGTGAATGGAAAGTAATTTTTTTAATTTTTTTAAATTATTTTGCATTATCAACAATCACTTCCATAAGCTTTTGAGTTTTAAATTTTTCTCCCCCTCCCTCCCCACCACTCTCCACAAGTTGGCAAGCAATCTGATATAGGCTATACATATACATTCCTATTAAACATATTTTCACATTAGTGATGTTGTAAGTAAGAATTAGAACCAATAGGAGGAATCACCAGAAAGAGGAAACACAACTCAACAGAACAAAAAAAAAAAGTAAATAGTATGCTTTGATCTGCATTCACACTCCATAGTTCTTTCTTTGGATGTGGATAGCATTTTCCATCATGAGGCCTTTAGAGATGTCTGAGATCCTTGCATTGCTGAGAAGGACTACGTCTATCAACAGTAGTCATTGCACATTGTTACTGTGTACAACATTCTCCTGGTTCTGCTCACTTCACTCAGCATCAAACCATACAAGTCTTTCCAGGTTTATCTGAAGTCTGCCTATTTATCATTTCTTACAGCACAATAATATTCCATTACATTCATATATCACATTCACAGATATGATTACTATCTGTGTCTTTCTCTCCATCCTTTCCCCCCTTTCATGCTTTTCTTTCTCCTTTTCCTTCCTCCTAGTGTTTTGCTTTTGACCACACCTCCCTCAGTCCCGCCTCCCTCAGTCCCGCCTCCCTTCTATTAGCCCCCATTCCTTTCCTTCCCCTTTACCCTTACTACTATCTCCCTTCCCTTTTCTTTCCCCTTTCCCCCTCCTACTGCCCATAGGGCAAGTTAGATTTTTTTTTTTTGCTTTTTGATAAGGCAATAGGGATTAAGTGACTTGCCTAGGGTCACACAACTAGTTAGTGTCAAGTGTCTGAGGCTACATTTGAACTCAGGTCCTCCTGATTCCAAGGCCACAGCTCTATCAAGGCCAGAGCTCACCATCTAGCTGCCCCTGCAAGTTAGATTCCTATACCTACCCGATTATGTTATTCCTTTCTTGAGCCAAATATGATGAGAGTAAGGCTCAAACAATGCTTATCTCCTTCCCTTCTTTCCCTCTGCTGTAATAGGTTTTTGTGCCTTTTCCTGTAATGTAATTTACCGTTGTCTGCTTCCTTTTTTACTTTTCTCTCAGTACATTTTCTTAGATCAGATTAATCCACTTACTTGGATCCATTTAACCCACTTGATTTTTTTTATCATTTTATTTTTTTTATCATTACATCAAAGTCAATTTATACCCACCCCCTTTATGTATACCCCTTTAACATGGTATAATAACAATATAGTTCTCAAGAATTACTAGTGTCATCTTCCCAGTTTGTCCTTATTAATAACATGATGTTTCTTTCTGTCCCATTTACCTTGTCATGTCTGTCTTGAGTCTTGTATTTGAAGATCAAATTTTCTGTTGAGTTCTGGTCTTTTTATCAGGAAGGTTTGAAAGTCCCCTATTTCGTTGAATATCCATCTCTGCCCCTGAAAGATCATGCTCATTTTCGCTGGGTAGTTGATCCTTGGTGGTAATCCAAGCTCCTTTGCCTTACTGAATATCATATTCCATAGAGAGTAATTTTTAAATATTATCTTTATTTTCCATGGGGAGCCTAATGAATCTAATGGGCTATTCCAGCATTGCATGTTTCTGTATTTGTTTTTGTTGTTCATTCTTTTTGACTCTTAATGACTCCATTTCTTGGCAAAGATACTGAAGTGATTTACCATTTTCTTCTCCAGCTCAACTTACAGATGAGGAGACGGATAAACAGGGCTAAGTGACTTGCCCACGGTCACACTGCTGGTAAGTGTCTGAAGTAAAATTTGAACTCAGGCCTTCCTGACTCCCATGTTCTATCTATGGCACCACCTAGCTGCTCCTCTGTATTTGTTTAGGGACTCCATTTTCTGTGGTAGATGAAATAAAAGTAGTACAGTACCTGGTATCCATATTGTGCATTGAGTATCTTTTTGAAGAGTTGAGAACCCTATCACCCACATTTGGGGAAACCTAGACAGGAACTTATACCTAAGCTCTACTTTGGAAGATTTTACAGGACTAACCCCGGGTAGGGGCAATGAGCCTAAGAAGAGACACCGACCCTTTGAAGGCAAACCCCAGGGGATCTAGCTGTCCCTGTGAGTCCAGGGTCCTTGGGGAAAGAGGGTGTTGGAAGCCAGCCACAGCAGGGCAATGGAAATAACACTAGACTGGGTGTCAGGAGATCTGGGTTTTAATTGTATTATAACCTTTCCCATTCCGGGCCTTGGTTTCCTCATGTGCAAAATCAGGAGATAGGACTGGATGATCTTTAAAGTCCTCATGAAATCAAACGCTCTTAAATTCTACCATTCTAGGCTAGAACCCCCGACTTGGAATGATAAATTGGCTTTCAGGGATCAGGAAGATCGCTTATTGGCAGTGGGTCCGCAGCAGTGGGGGTACCCAGGGGTGGAGGGCTTGGAGCCACAACCAGCCGGGGGGAAGAAAGGAGCCAGAGTGGGACTTTTCCCCAAGGTGGGTGGGCAGCCGGGGCGGGGCGGGGCGGGGCCAGCCGGCCAGCTCCTAGTGCCACTCGCTCGGCCCGAATCCCGCAGCCGGGGGAGAATGGGGCGGTCCCGAGGCTGGGCCGTAGGACGGGGCGGGCCGTGGGCGCCAGGCCCGGGCCCCGCCCTCCCTCCGCCCTCCCTCCGCCCTCGCCACCTGAGACAGGTGGAGTCGTCGGAGTGGCTGCAGGAGTCATGTCCCAGAAGGAGCCGGACCTGGAGCCCGGGCACCCTGCGGAGCCGGCGCCGCGCTGCCCGGTGCACGCCCAGGAGCTGAAATGGTTCTGCGGCGCCGAGCGGCGGCTCGTGTGCGCCGGCTGCTGGGGGCCGGGGGGCCCGTGCCGCGAGCACCACGTCCGGAGGGCCGAGGAGCGGGCGGAGGAGCTGCGGGTGAGCGCGTCGGGGCGCGAGGGGAGGAATGGGGCAGTGCGTGGGAGAACCCCCGGGGTGGGCGCTCCGCAGTCCGGCCGGCCAGCCTGGCCACCCTGGAGACGGAGACCGGAGACGTGCTGCTGCGGGGCGCGGGGAGCCCCAGGAGCAGGTGGAGAAGGCTCGAGTGAGCATCGGGGCAGGTGGACAGGCTGAGTGTGCGGCCGGGCCGGTCCCCCAGCTCGTGCTCCCCACCGCTCCCAGCCCAGTGGGTGTCCGTCTCCTACATTTTCTGCCCCCGGCCGGAGCTGGGAAAGGGACGTCTGTGAGTGCTCGGGGCGGGGAGATGCTGGGGGTTGGGCAGAGGTGTAGTAGAAGGCCTGGGCGCGGGCAGAGGCTGGACTGGGCAGCTAGCTGAGAGAGGCAAGTAACTGGAGAGGGCTAGGTAGGGAATAGTGTGGGGGGAATGGGGGGGGATGGGGGCAGAGCAGTTGGGCCACTAGCTTTGTCGGAGCTGCTGTTGGTCAGCCTGGGCTCAGGGAGGCAGCAGGGAAAGTTCTTCCAAGTGATGCTAAGAAGGACCTGAGGCTGATACACTTGCCGCACCACTCGAAGCAAAAACTGTTCGTCACTTTCACGTAGAGATAGAATTATCCCCGGTTGGAAAGGAATTTAGAAATCATCTTTCTTTATTGTTCAATTTTATCTGACTCTTCATGACCCCATTGAGGGTTTTCTTGGCAAAGATACTTGATTAGTTTGCAATTTCCTTCTCCAGCTCTTTTTACAGATAGGAAACTGAGGCAAACAAGATTAAGTGACTTGCCCAGGGTCACACAGCTAAGTGTCTGAGACTAGATTTGAATTCAGGAAGAGGAGTCTTCCTGACTCCAGGCCCTGACACACTATCTACTATGCCTGCTTCCTTTAAGTTCCAACTAAAATTCCACCTTCTACAGAGAAGCCTCCTCTAACCCCTCTTAATCCCAGTGCTTTCTCTCTTAATTTTGTCCTATTTTTCCTATATATAGCTTGTTTGTATATATTTGTTTGCAAGTTGTCTTGCCTGTTAATTGTAAGCTTCCTGAGGGCAGGGACTGTCTTTTACCTCTTTTTATATCCCTAGGGCCTACCTGGGCACTGTGCTTAATAAATGTTTATTGAGTTGAATCTAGAGAAGACCAATCCTCCAATTTTATACATGAAGAAAAGGAGGTTCAGAGCTGAGGTGACTCTTCCCCAAGGTGGGTGGGCAGCCGGGGTGGGGCTGAGGTGACTCTTCCACTGCCCCATTTCCACATTGAAACCTCAGGGTGGTATAATGCAAAGAGATTTCCTGTTGCCTTTGGAGACTTCTTTATCCTTTCTTGGCTGCCCTGCCTGTTGGTTTTAACTAGATTTCACCTGGATAAACTCAGGTAGGGCAGAGTGTAATTGGTACTGGGCCCCTCCTACCCTTTTAGGGACAGCCACCAGCTTGGTTATAATAAGGTCAGTGAGAAGTTTGAAGGATCTGGAGGGAGACTACTTTTTTAATCCCTTCCTTTATTAGCTTTATAAGACCACAACAGGTATCTGGGTCAAGGTAAATCTTTCTGGCTGGTCCTCTCAGGTCTCTGAGTGGCTGGGGCATTAAGGAGGCCCCTTCAGACTGGATCTGGAAAATAAACCCTGAAAAGGGTTTTTTTGGTTCCCTTTTCCACCCACTAGATGCCATAGAAACTGAAAGGGGGACCCCAAAGTGTGTAGATGGCATCAGAAATTAGCCTCTGGCATTCACCCCTTAGCTCATTTGAAACTGTTTCCTAACCTCTGGGGATTTCCTTAGTTTGGCTAAGTGTTTTTCTTCTGTACCCCTAAGTCCAGCCTAAGGCATAGGGGCCAGGCTCTGGAGGCTTAGGTTAAGTTCTTGCTCAAACAGCTCCTGGGCTAGTGATGGAGGATTGCATGGAATCTGGAAGGGGCCTCAGACCTTCCACCATATCATTCAGCCTCTGCTGGGAAGACCTCCAAAGTTGAGGAGCTCACTCCTCTGGAGGCAGCTCATTCCCCTTACAATCACACCAACACAGGGTTGTCCTGAGGAAGGTGCTTCAGCAATCTTAAAGGGCTTACATCAGTGTGAGCTGTTAATTTAATAATTGATAGGAAGTTTTTCCTTTTGCAGTTATCTCTCTCAGAATTCCTCCCTAGCCCCATATTGATCGTCATTCTGCTCTCTGGGGCCAAGCAAAACAAACCTCTTTTCCCTTCTCCAGGACAAGTCCTTCGGACATTGATTTAGTCAGAGGTCAGGGTCCCTGAAGTCCCCTCACCCACTCCAAGGCACTTGTGTGTCACGAACTCCTTTGGCAGTCTGGTGAAGCCTATGGACCCCTCCTCAGAATAATATTTTTAAATGCACAAAATAAAATACATAGGATTACAAAGAAAATCAACATTTGGTGAAGATAAGGATGAATTTTTTTTTTTCCCATCCAAGTTCATGGACTCTGGGGAGGGCGTCAGGAACCCCTATTCTGGAGATATAGGAAGCATACTTTCTATGTTAGTCCTCCAAACTCACAATTTGTCACTGTGTTGATTAGAGTTTGTCACTGTGTTGATTAGAGTTCTTAAGCCTTTCAGGGTTTTTTACATTGTTGTGGTCATTGGGTCATTGTATAATTTGTTCTTCTGGTCCTATTTTCTTTGCATCAGTTTATACCAGTTTTCTTAATTTTCTCTGAATTCTCCATATTCATTGGCACAATAATATTCCATTACATTATTGGATTTCCTTCCCCCCTTCAATTGGCAAATGCCTATCCACTTCACTTAATGGCAGTTAATTTAGTTCAATTGGACAAAAATTTATCAATTATCTAATATGTCGCAAGATCCCTGTGCTATTGAGTTTCAAAGATTTAGGGAGAGGAAAAGCAAGTCTCTGACCTAGGAGTTTACAGTTTAATAGCAGAGGAGGGGGAGAGGAACTTTGGAGCAGACATATTTAGGTAAGTGTGATACAACCCAGAAAGTGATTAGTGTAAAGGGGAGGCTTAATCAAAATGGCCTCCCCCTTATAGGTTGTAAAGGGGAGGCCTAATCAAAATGGGTATGGGCAGCTCGGCAGTACATTGGGTAGAGCACTTCGGCTTGAAACCAGGAAGAGTCATTTATGAGTTCAAATCTGACTTCAGACACTTAGAAGCTGTGTGACCCTGGGCAAGTCACTTCACCCTGTTTGCCTCAGTTTCTCATCTGTAAAATGAGCTGGAGAAGGAAATGGCCAACCACTCTAGTATCTCTGCCAAGAAAACCCCAAGATGCTGTCATGAAGAGTTGGACCCGACTGGACCAACTCAGCCACAACAATCAAAATGGGAAAGGAGGGAGAAAATCACTTTTAATTGAGGAGGTCAAGTGAAGTTTGATAGTGTCTCTGGAGGAGTTCTGTCTGAATTGGGCCTTGAAGGAAGAGAAAATTGTTCAATGATTGGTGGTGAGGAGGGAATGCATTAATGAACATTGGTGGGACAAGAAATCTGGGAATAGTTAGTAGTCCAACTTGCATTGGCAACTAGCATCGTCCAGGGAAGGGACTAAGGAGTCGTGGTTGTCTGAGTATGGGCCGGATGGATATATCTATATATGTATAGGCAGATAGAGCATGTATTTATTAAATGCTTACCTTGTGCTAAAATACAAATATAAGCAAGCAAGAATTGCTGGCCTCAAGGAATTTACATTCTGATAGAGGAATACTATACATAAAGGGAGCTGAGAAGGGGACAGAGAGGTAGGTGTTTGGAGTGGGCCAGTGGGGAAGTCGTGGGGAGGCTGGGCCCCCACCATGTAAGGCAAAAGATGACTCGACCTAATCGAGGCTAGGCCCCAAGAGCTGGGTCTGGGTCACCGTGGGGAGGTGGTGGTGATGGCTGTAGCACAGGCAGCCGGGAAGTGGCTTGGAGGCCTACCAGATCCCCCTCCCAAGATAAGGCAAAATCTGATCTGTTAGAGGAACAGCTTCACTGACAGAAGGTCACTCAGCTTCAGCACAGATGTTTCCAATGGATGACAGGAATCTTTCTTCCTTCCTGCTCCTTCTTTTTGGACAGATCTGTTGTTGAGCTAAAATCTGATTCCCTCCACTTTTCCCCCTGGAGCCACAGAAACTGAAGTCTAATCTCTTCTGCCCTACATCTAGATAGTGATCTTGACCATCTCACATCTCTTCCTCGTCTCTTGTCTTCATATCCTGCCTTGGGCAATTCTCCATCTTGTATTGGTCTTCCTTTCAGTTCTAAGGATGGGGAAGGGGGATAAACTTTTATTTTGGGCCTGCTGCCTGTTATTATTATTAAGCACCTAATTGATGTAAGTACGGAGAATCTGTAGACAAAAATAAAAACCACCCTAGCCGTAAGAAGTTTACTTTTGTTGTTGTTGTTAATGTTGGGTGGGGACACAAAAAGACATAAATGTATTTTAACAATTCATTTGGGAGTTGTTCAGTCTTTTCAGTCATTAGGCTTTTCTTGGCAAAGATGCTGGAGTGGTTTGTCATTTTCTTCTCCTGCTCATTTTACGGATGAGGAAACTGAGGCAAACAGGGTTACACAGGCTGAGGTCAGATTTAAACTCAGATCTTCCTGACTCTAGGCTCTGTACTCTATGCACTGCTCCACCTAAGTGCTCTCAACTGGGGGTGCTGATCTGGGAAAGGCTTTTTCTAAGGGGTATCACTTGAGCTGAGACTTGAAGGGTGCTTAGGCCTCTCTAGAGGTAGGAACAAAAGAGGAGTGCCTTCCATGCCAGGAGTGGGCAGCCTGTGCAAAGGTACCTGGGAAGGAAATGGAATGTCATATATGAGCAACAGCCAGTAAGCTGGTTTAAAAGGAAAATAGTGTGTGATGGGGAGGAATGTGGAACTAGCCTGCAAAGACTGGTTGGAGCTGGATTGTGAAGGGCTTGGGAGTTTCTGTTTTTTCCATGACTAGATTGTAAGTTCCTTAAGGGCAAACAGTATCTTTTACTTTGGGACCCACCACAGCACTCATCATAGAAGGTGCTAGGCACAGGTCTTGGCAAAACTGATTGGGAAGAGGCCAAAGTCCTTCAGCATCTTCCAGTCCTCCCTCCTGCCCTCCACTCCTCCAGGGCTCAGAGCCTCATTTCCTTTGTCGATTGGCATTTCAACAGAGATCACTGCTCTGAACTAAAGGGATAGATTTCATTTGGTGGATGTGCTGCAGGTAGAAAGGATTAAAGAAAGGAGAGGGAGTAGGGAGAAGATGGGGCCAAATCAAGGCTGTCTTCTAAGTAAGGGTTTAATAAACACAGGCCTTGTGAAAGTCTTTGCCTAGACCCTAGCTGTTGCCTCTTTTTTCAGAACAAAATAGTGGATCATTGTGAGAAGCTGCAGCTACAGAGTGCCGGCATCACCAAATACATGGCTGAAGTCTTGCCTCGGAAAAACCAAAACGCAGCGGTAACTTCCCTCTCATTCCTTGACCCCGTTCCCAGGAGGAGACCCAGATCCTGGGCCCAGATCCTGGCTTCTCTGGCCACGAGAAGCCCAAGCCCCTGGGCTTCTCTTCGCTGTCGCCCTAATGTAGGTGCCTGGCTCCATTGCTACTGAGCAGATCTGGATGTCCTGGGAAGGATTACTTCCTTCCTGCCATCTCTGAGCCTTGGCTTTCTTTCCCATCTGTTAGAGGAGTCCAGCCTCTAGTTCCATACAGGGGTCAAGAGTCAGTGGCTGTAAAACACCCTGTTTTTAATTATCTTGATGACAGGGTTTCAGATATTAAAAGCATGAATAATTGGAAATCACAGATAATTCCCCCAGACTCAGGCATTTTTCTAATGCCTCTTCCCTACAAACCCTTTTTTATTGCATGTGCCCCGCAAAATCACTTCCTCTTTTTTTACCTTATTCACTGTGTGAAGGTTGGCTGTAGGTTATGCTCTCTGAATTGCATCCCCATTAGTAAGAACAAGTTGTCAATGAGACAGCCATACTCTGCTCTCTTTCCCCTTCTAAAGGTAGTCTTGTAAGGCAACAGAGAGTAGAATCACTGGATGTTAGAAGGGGAAGGAACCTTAGAACACAGAATGTTAGAACATGAAGGGACTCTAGAAAAGCTGAAGTCCAACCCCCTGCATTTATAGATGAGGAAACTGAGGCCCAGAGAGGGGATGCGATTTGTCTGTGGTTACATTATGAGTTCAATAAATACAGCATTTATTAAATGCTGGGGATACCTCAGACAGCCCTTGAGAAGCTTACATTCTAATGGAGGAAGACAGTGCATTAAGGGGAAGTGGAAAGGAGTGGGGAGGAAGGATGCCCAGGAGCAGGTGAGTTAGCTGCAGAAGTAGGGCCAGAATCCCGACTTTCTTTGTACTGTAGTAGACTGAGCTGACAACCAGTCTTTCTGCCCTTGACTTACTGGGAATCCTCTGGGATTTGAGAATACTCTCCTTGACTTCTTTTCTGCTCCGTCCTCGCCAGACCATGGCCAGTGGAGCCCGTGAGGTGGTGATCCAGCGGCTGAGTCTGGTTCGGAATGTATGTGAGAGCGAGGAACAGCGGCTGCTGGAGCAGGTGCACGCGGAGGAGGAGCGAGCCCACCAGAGCATTCTGACCCAGCGGTCCCATTGGACCGAGGCCTTACAGAAGCTTGGCACCATCCGTGCCAAGCTAGTGGGCATGCTCACTTATCTCGATGACCACAGCCTTATTGTAAGCTAGGGCTGGGGGTCAGGTGGGGGCACGGGTGAAATGGGGGGTTGTGATGCAGGTGTCCTTCAGTTTATTTAGGGGGAAGAATGAAAGAAAAAGCATTTATTAAGTACTAAGTGCCAAGTACTGTGCTATATACAAGAATGAGAATCAATAAGATAAAGGCTCAGAAAAAAGCTCGAAAATTTTGGAGACAGCCTCAGACATTGGACACTAGCTATGTGACCCTAGGCAAGTCACTTAACCCCAATTGCCTCACCCCCCAAAAAAATTGGAGAAAGCTTTGTGTTTATTAGTTTGTCTACTCAAGGCCCCTGATTTCTCCCCTCTACCACCCTCATCTCTTTTTAAACCATTCAGAAAAGCATTTTTTCCCCCTAGTTTTATTTTCTTGACCAGGTTTTTAAGTCTTTAGTTGGGACTACTGCAGGGGGCAACTGTCATTTTTTTTTTCTGGCAGTGTGTGGATACATGCCTACCCTTTTCTTCTGAAGAAAGGAATATGGCTAAGAACTTTCCACCTCACTTTTTTTCCTTCTGGAAGGTTCCAGTGGGAGGAAGAAAGAAAGGACCAAGAATGAGTAAAACTCATTTAGACATGAGCCTTAGAGGGAAAACATAACAGGGGGATCTCCTGCCCTGAAGTATGGACTAAGGAAGGGGCAGCAATGAAGGCATCTGACTTGTGCTGCTTCGAATCAGGATTTGAAAGTTTGGGAAATATCTCCATTAGTTAGTTGATACAATCATTCAGTAAACAAATATGAATGAGAGTCTTCCAAGTTTATGGGATTCTTCTGGTGCTGTGGGGGATAGAGATCTGTTTATTCATTCTACAAACTTTGGTCCTAGAGGAGAAATAAAGTTAAAAACCAGTTCCTGTGCTCTTGGAGCTTACCATTCATTAGAATGATAAGACACTAAGATGACTAAAACCCCAAATTATTTGATGATTGCCCAGGAGACGCAAAACAAAAAGTTTGGTGAGTTTCGAGAGAGAATGCTGTTGATCAAGGGAATTAGGGAAAGATTCTTGGAACAGTAATCCACTGAGCTGGGCTTGAAAGGGTAGGAGACGTGCAAAACACAATCTCTGGCCTGGAAGAGCTTAGTTAAGTTGGTGAAACTAACTACAGGGAAAGAGAATGAATAATACAGGGCAATACACATTATGTAGTGCAAGTGGGTACAGACAGTGAGTCTTGTAGGAGTTGAGAGAAGGATGAGATCACTGGGCTGGGGGAAGGGGAGGTGGTGGGAAGAAAATGCCTGGAAGAAGTGGGACTTCAGGGATGGGTAGGAGTCAGTATGTGGAGAGGAGTGGGAAGGGCATTTGGGGTGGGGTGGGGGGAGAGCAGCCTGGACACAGGCCTGTAGGTAGTAAAGGGCAAAGTGTGTTTGGGGGATGGTGAGCTGACCAGTTTGTCTAGAGCAGAGGGGGTTTGTTCCTTTAGGAGAATAGAAAGAGAGAAGGCTGGAGCCAGATTATGAAGAATAAAATCTTATACTGTAGGTAACAGTAGGTCATTAGAGGTCCATTTGACCACTACATCCAGAAGCAAGGGTTAAAGGACACTGCAGTCCTCCCCTGGGACCTGCTACTTTCTGGTGTCCTTGTCAAGGTTGCTTCTGAGGTCTGAGTTCTGTGACAATTGACAGGCAAATGTTTTAGGCAAGGAGCAGGATCACTCATTTCTTTCTTGCCCCAAACTGGGTTTAATATATCTAGTTCATGACAAAAGGCAGGCTTTTCAATGTCAAGAAAAATATCTAACTTGCTAAATGCTTTTTCTCTTTACAGCAATCAGAGCGGGAGATTTTTGAGAGGTGAGTCAGTGATTTGTTTCCCAGAGCCTATGTAAACCTGGAGCCAGGCAGGTCAGTGTGGGTCAGTATGTATAACAGGAAGAATGACTAGTACGAGATCCAGATTCTAGTCTCTGGCTTTGTAACTACCATGTATTATACTGGGTAAATCACTTTTTTGGCAGCCTCAGTTTTCCTTTCTATATAATGGGTAAATGAACTAAAGGAACCCCAAGGTCCTTTCTAGTTCCTAATCCTATGAAACTATGAGATAAATGTCAGACTAAATGATCCATTGTGGTCTCTAGTTCTCAAATGCTGTGAGATTGCTCCTTGAGGTTACTGGTTTTAGGACAGCCGTGCTTAAATAAGTTTTGTTTTTACTTTAGAGTCATTCTCAGATAGGGAACCACCCCACCCACTAATCAAATTCACTACCAAATGAACCCTCTTGTAACAAAGACCACATCTGATCATGTATACAATATTCTATAGTTCCCCCCACCTTTCTGTTATAAGGAGGGGAGGAGGAAGGTGCTCCCCAATCTCTTCTCTGGGGCTAAAATTGTCCTTGGCTCTTTTTCCACACTCTTAGTTCAAGACTCCTGTTGTTGCTTGGGAGATACTTGCTTTTCAGCTTAAGGATTCTAGGCATAACCGAAGTAGAAGTTTATAGTATAGGATGATGATTTTGAGCTCTGGGGGCCCAGCCAAAGACATGGGACTAAGTATCTATGTGTCCCTTACCCTTGGCATTCTCCTTGCGTCCTTGGGCTGTTTCACACATGGGTTGTTAGGACTAGGCTGAGAAACTCAGGTACTTTCCCCACAACGGCTGCCAGTTTGAATCTGGATACTTACTTCTGATGCCTCAATGTCATCTATTGGGTGAAGGTGTGGAACAGCAAGTGACTTGCTGGAAACTTGCCTGTCAAACTGAGAAGTGTCATCTGCTGAGGGGAGGTGGAGGAGGATAAGCTGATGTCTCTCATTCCCTGACAGGTCTGGGCTGTGACCTTGAAACTGTGACATGTCCAGCTATCTGAATTATTGCCCTCCCCCACCCACCCAAGCTAAACATATTAGCCCCCTGCTGTGTCTAGTACCCACCCTTCTCCTCTAGGACTGCATCAGTCTGGAGTGAAAGCTTCTCTCCTGAAGGGTTGTGGGCTCTGAAAGGGATTTGAATGAAGGATCTATCCCTGCCCCCACCCTGAACTGGAGGGCCCTGCCCAGGATGGGCAGCTCATTGGAGATGCAGCACGGTCAGGAGGAGACAGTTCCTCTCTTGTCTTTCCTACAAAGAGGCTTTGTTGGCCAGAGACTCAGCAGGAAAGCTAGCTTTGCTCTTATCTAGGGCTCTTGTTGCTTTATTTCTCTTTGGTGTCTTCATTTTCCCATGTGTGATTGTCTTTTTGAAATCAATCTCTTCCAGGCTATTTGAGCTATCACCATTAAACCTTGAGGCCTCTTAAAAGCTAGGGTGACCCTAATTAATGCAACAGACTTTCACAAGGCACCAGCTATGTGCAAGACACTGTTTTAGTAGTGTTGGGGATAGAAAGATATGAAATGAAATCCCAGGAGTTTATAATTTAGAATACAAATTAGAATGGAAATGTAAAGGAGGAATCCAAAGAAAGGCCTATAAGAAATTTGAGTTCATAGACTTAGGAGCATCATTGAGTCCTTTCTCACTGCATGCCCCTCCCATCCCCCATTTTATAGATGAGAAAACTGAGACTCAGGTTAAGTGGCTTGCCAAGGGTCTCTCAGCTGGTTAGTGTTGGAGGTGGGATTCAAACTCACTTCTTTCCAGATACCAAGTCCAGTGTTTTATCTATTGCATCAAGTTATTTCTCTGAAAGATCACTTCTTCAGACAAGTGGTAGGCTCTTTACTTAGGTGCAATGATCTGTAGCCTGGAATCACCTGGAATTGGTGAAGGGGGTTATAAAAATTGGGCAAGGAGGCTGTCGGTATTGATTGTTCCTATAGTTCCAGGATGGCAATATGGTGTGGGGCAAAGGCCTATGAAATAATCCAAAGTCCACTTCAATGGGGAGTGCACCTTGAACAAAAACAATAAGGGAGAGTCTGAGATCACTTCCATCCTTTGCTTCCAAGTTCTTTCCCCACTTCCCCCTTATCTATAAACATCTTCAAATCTCCTATTCATATAATTCATTAATTTCAGCTAGTCAAGAAAAGTGATCTGCATAAACTAACATGTACCAAGTTATAAAGATCTCATATCTAATCTCATATTTCACATCCTCTCCCTGTTGGCATTGTAACCATTAATGGTAGCAAGACATATTTTAGGTAGCACTAGCACCTGTGTGTACATATATATTGGTAGAGTGGGTTGCACACCCTGAGCACCTTAGCCTGATGAAATCATAGGTCTGGAGCAGGGATTCTCAAGACCTATGAAGTTATACCAAGTAGGTGGATGTTGTGAGGTCTGAGGCTATATCACTGGGGTTCCCCTAATGATACTAGAACTGGTAAAGGAAGTTTCCTATTCCTTCCTTCCCTCCTTTGAACTCCTCAGGGATCTGGTAATGGTGATGGTGATCCCCTGAGGATCTCTTCCATGGATGAGTGATTTGAGGATCCCTCTTTGCCTTGGAGGGCCTTGTAGTGCCTGCTTCCTTTTTCTTTTTTTTTTTTTTTCTTATATGTTTCAGGCCCTTTGTCCTTTGTAGAACATTCTGGAATTTGTAGAGTGACCTTGTGTATTTTCTTCCATTAGGACTGAGGAAGCTGAGGGAATCTTGGATCCCCAGGAATCTGAGAAGTTAAATTTTAATCAGAAATGTGTGCGGAGCCCATTACTAACCCAGCTTTGGGCATCAGCCGTTCTCTGCTGCCTCTCAGGTCAGGATTTTGCCCCAGTTAGATGGGCTCAGAACCATTAATAGAAATCAGTGTGTTCTATGGTTAATATGTTAAGGAGGATTTTGTGGCTGACTTGCCGGGGGGCTTGGCTTTCAGGGTTTGCAAACCTACAGGGCTGGCAGAGGTTGGATATATAAATAGTCCTTCCCATACAACTACATTCTTCCTCATCTTTTGTGTTGGGGCCCTCTGCTGACACTATCCCTGGTCTGGACCTATCCATTCTTCTACTAACTCTTTGCTTCTGTAGGCCTTGGTCTTGAAAAGTGTCAATGCACAAGACAGGATAAATTAATATACCTTAAGGAGTTATATGCTGACAGATTTAATATTATTTCTTCATAGAGTACCAGCATTTTGATAGAGGACTGTGCCTAAATCAGGTAGTCTAGTGAGAACCACCATAGACTGGGAATCATAAAACCTGGGCCCTAGTCTTGGCTCTCCCACTCCCTGGCTCTGTGCCTTCAGTTGAGCAACATCACCTCTTAGGCCTTGGTTTCCCCATTTGTAAAATGGGGATTGATCAGTCAATAAACATTTATTATGCCCCCTACTTGGTTCTAGGTACTATGCTAAGCACTGGGGGTGCAAAGTAAAAAACAAAACAGATTTGCCCTCAAAGAGCTTATATTCTGTCAGGGGAGATATACATATAAGTAATTAAAATAATATATGTATAGGTAATAATAACAACTGTCCTGTCTACCTCACAGGGTTGTTGGGAGGATCAGATGACAGTTAAATGTAGGGTATCTTTACTACTGAGTTTCTGAAGAACCTTCAGGCTCAGATGGGAACTCTCGTTTGGGAGTTGGTTAGGAATGGGGAACTCAGAGCCTGGGAATTTTCCTTAAAAACTACATTTCCAACAGGTACTGAAGACATTCGTGTGGATGAAAGGACCATCAGTCCCTTTCTCCAGCTGTCAGAGGATAGGAGGACCCTTACTTTCAACCCCAAGAAGTCCAAGGCCTATGCCGATGGCCCAGAACGCTTTGACCACTGGCCCAATGCCCTGGCTTCAACCTCCTTCCAGGGTGGGCTTCATGCATGGATGGTGAATGTGGAGAACAGCTGTGCTTATAAGGTGGGAGTGTCCTCCAGTCAGCTGCCTCGAAAGGGTTCTGGCAATGATACCCGCCTTGGCTACAATGCTTTCTCCTGGGTGTTCTCCCGCTATGACCAGGAATTTCGGTTCCTGCACTGTGGCCAGCACCAGCCTTTGGCCCTGTTGCGCTGTCCAGACCGCATTGGGGTGTTGTTGGACTTGGCAGCGGGTGAGCTGTTGTTCTATGAGCCCAGCTCAGGTGCCCTCTTGTGTTCCCACCACATCCAGTTTGAGGGCCCTATCTTCCCCGTCTTTGCTGTGGCTGACCAGAACATCTCCATTGTTCAGTGATGGGCTGCTCTCACAATATTTAAAGGGTTCTCTCCCCCAACCCACCCTCAACATCGTGGTACCAGGTTTTCCCATTGTGCATGCCCATTAGCCATCACCTGAGGGCAGATAGTGGTGGGAAGATGGAGCTGAGGTGGTCCTACCTTCCAGGTACTTGGGTGTGGTGAGGAGCCCGCCCTCACCCCAGTGTGCCACAGGTCTCTTTTCCCTAGCATCCATTCTTAAAGTACCTGATATAGGAGGACAAGGAAAGGTGATAAAGGGAAGTAGTGGAAAGAGAACTGGACAAGCAGTCAGATGCCTGGGTTCTGGTCTCCACTGTGTCACTGACTCATTGTGAGAAGCTGAACAAGTTGTTTGATCTCTTTAGGCATCAATCTCCTCATCTGTAGGGGTAGATGAGCCGAGGTGATTTATTAGCTCTCACATTGGCGATGGCAATTACGGTTTCTGGTTCCCCTGGCAGTGACGGCTTGTGACTGCCAGGCCTGTGTTTATAACCCCTTTTCTTCTGTTCAGGGACTCACCAGGGTCCACTCTCTCGCCTTCTGGATGCAGGGTACTTCTCAGACCCCTACATCTTAGGCTCAGTTGGGTAGGCTCTCCTACCAGGTGCTAACTTTAGCTGGAGTTCTGGGCCAGTCCTGCTGAGAGCTGCTGGCTTTCCTCTAACCCGGCCTGACTGATGTCTTCCACCTCCTCATGACTCAGCGGTACCCGTTCTCTAAGGCGAGGGGTTGGGCACATGAATAAGGAGCTTGAGAGGGGAAGGAGAGGAAGCAGGGATGCCTGATGGCAGGGCAGGCTCCTGAGGAGGTGCCTGGCTGTGGGGAATATTTAAATTATTAAAAGGTTTTGAAAAAACAATCAAATTGCTGGTTTTTTCTGTCCCTGTCCTTTGCTGGTTACTGAGGACCCCCAGGTCCTGACTGTAACCCACCCCTCCCTCCCCCAGCCAGGGTCCTATTTCTTTTCTTTTTTCTTTTGGTTGGGCAATGGGGTTAAGTAACTTGCCCAGGGTCACACAGCTAGTGTTATGTGTCTGAGGCCGGATTTGAACTCAGGTCCTCCTGCATCCAGGGCTGGTGCTCTATCCACTGTGCCACCTAGCTGCCCCATTGGGTTCCTATTTCTGGGAGCTTGTTGAACAATTATTTGCGCTAGAAAACGCATGCCTTCTCCACCTACATTTACCTTCCCAAAGCTGGAAGAGGGCATGATGGAAAAAACACTGGGCCGGGGACCCAGGAAGTCTGGGTTTTAGTTGTGCCTTTAACTAGACATGTTGCTCTTGAGCAACCTCATTGGATTCCTAGCCTCAGTTTCCTTTTTCAGAAGTGAAGGGAAGAAGGGATGCTGAGGTCTGCAAAAACTCAACTACTTAAAAATCTTCTAACCTTCATCAATATGGCATTACATTTGACAAAAGAATGCCTTTTTTTTATGTTATACAAAAGACTAATTTATCTTTGGGTTTGGGCAGCTAGGTGGTGCAGTGGATAGAGCACATAGCCTGGAGTTAGGAAGACCTGAGTTCAAATCTGGCCTCAGACACTTACTACCTGGGTGACCCTGGGCTTATTCCTGTTTTCCTTATTATCTCCTTTTTACAGATAAGGAAACCGAGGCTCAAAAAGATGAAATGATTTGCCCAGTATGACATGGCTAGTGTCAGTTGGTATTTGAACCCAGGTTTCCTGACTGCCAAGTCCAGTGTCCTTTCCACTACAGCTCACTGCCATTCCACTCATCTGAAATGGATGTTAGGCTATCCAAGGCATAATAGGTCACACTGAATGTTTGGCTTCCAAAGACTGGGGAGCCTCTGGCAGAACTGAGTTAATAGTCATGTTCTCAGCAGCAAAGAAGTCAAATCTCAGGAAGCCAGTACTATCTGAACAGACTATCCAGGAAGTTGACGTCAGGTGTGGCCAAGCCAGAATAACAGGCTGCCCTTCCCTCCCCAAGGTATCTGTCTCCCTTTACCCTCCTCCTGCTGCTCTCAACTGTAGGGTTCATTCCCACCCCCAAACTCAAACCCCAGTGGGTCTTTTGTCTCTAAGATCAAGTCTAAACTCAGCCTGGCATTCACTGTCACCTTCATCTGCCACTTTCACTCCTACCTATCCTTTTGATCCTTATCCTGTTCCTCTCTCCCCACCCCAAACACCCCTGGTCTCTGCTTAGCCAAATCCCACACCTCCCTGACCACTCCAGCCCACACAGAGCTTCCCTGTGGAGCTGCTACACACAGTGCTTCCAGGCTCTGGTCCTCATTTACTACTAATCCCAAAGTACTCTGTGGGTCTAACTCTTGGCTGTCCAGGTTTTACATTCCTAGCTGAAGATAAGTTCCTAGAGTGAAGACTTATCCCACAGCACTTAGCCTTTGTGTAAGAGGCAAGGTATGAAACATGGCAGTGTAGGGTGAATGACCTTGGATTGGTAGTCAGAAAACCTAGGTTCAAATCCTGGCTTTCCTATCTAATACCTCTGTGGCCTTGGGTAACCTGAATCTCAGCTTCCTCACCTGTAAAATGAGAGGTTGGATTAGAGGATCCCCACATCCTTTTGGGCCTTGTTTCCTCTCTACAATGGGGTTGGCCAAGATCAGGAAGAAACTTTAGAAATTTGTTTTAATTATTTACATTAAATTTAGAAATCTAATCCAGGGGGTCCTTAACCTGGGGTCCATAAATTTTTTTTTCCATAAATTTTTAAAAAAAATAAATATTTTGATGTAATTTGTTTCCTTATAGATTTAAAAACATTCTGAAAAGGGGGCCATAGTTTTTAACAGATTGCCAAAGGAGGACCAGGACCCAGGAAAGATTAAGAAATTCTGATCGAGTTCACTCTACACCCATCTGTCAGAGGAGAGAACCGAAGCCCAGAAATGGTATTTTGCCCAAGGTCACACAGTGGCAGAGATGGGATTAGAACCCAGGTCCTCTTGACTCCAAACTCTAGTGTTCTTTCCACCAAACAATAACTGCTTTTGAAACCTTTTCCAGCTCTATAATAAGCAACAAGGAGTCACAATATTTAGCTATGGTATTTGACTTTATGGTAGTCACAGACGCCTGCTATTGAGGCTGAAGGGAGAACAGCTCCCACTTTGCTCACATGGGAAGAAGGAGCCAATGTTTCCAATAATAGGATTCTGCTGGCTGGGATTTCCCTTGCCTTCTCCCACCTGGTAGGCTCAGCTTGCAGGCCGCACCTTCCCCACCAATCTTCAGTGCTTTGGGTCTGAACCCTCCAGGAGGTTGAGGGCAGCCAGAAGGTGAGGGAGGGAAGGCAGGATGTGTTCCTTAGGGACAGTTCTTGGAAAGGGGTCCTGGGTCTTGGTACCCATCAGCAGGAAGCTGTGCATGCCCACATCCCGGGGTGCCTGGTAATCATTCAGGTAATTGTCCCCAACGTGGGCTGCCTGGGTGGGCGCTATATCAGCAAGCCGAAGGGCCTGTTGGAAGATTCGTGGATCAGGTTTGGCCCAGCCAGCTGCCTCAGACGTCAGTATGAAATCGAAGTGCTTCCGGAGACCACAGTGAGCCAGGATGTCCTCTAGCCTCCTGTCAAAGTTGGAAATGATACCTAATCTCAGGCCCCGTTCACGGCACTGCTGCAGAGTGGATTCAGCCCCTTCCAGCATCTGCCAAGTTTTAGCACTGCAGAAGTCCTCATAGAGTTTGTGGGCAATGGGATCGAGGATATTGGAGTTTTGTACTCCTGCCAGGTGGAATGTCTGCAAGACAGTATCTAGCCACCATTGTCTTGAGGTGAGGCCTTGGCTTAGCCCATAGTTGGGGAACTTCTGCTTCTGGGCCTTATATGCTTGACGGAAGGCTGATTCAAGGGCTGCTGCCTCTATCTTTAGCCCATAGGCCCGAGCCTGGGCTGAGTATTCTTCTCCCACTGTAAGTCTGAGTCGAAGCAAAGTGTCCTTCACATCCCATGTCAGCAGCCGCAGCCTGGGGGCCATTGGCCTAAGAGATGGAAGCCCAGCAAGGAACAGAAAGTCAAATGTAGCCTTTTATTCCTCAAACTCAGGACCCAGGGGACCAAGGTTAAATAGAATGATTCTTGAAGTTGCCCCAACCAATCCCTTTTACCCTGCTAGACCTACCAAACCAGGTTCTTGTAGGTGGGAGGCCCTCAGGATAAATTTCTTAATTCAAGTTCTTTTATTATTTGTCAGATACTTGGGCTTAAAAAAAAAACAATCTAAGAGCCAAGTATTTTAACAACAATCAGAAGGGTATGTGAATCAGGTATAGGATTAGCAATAGCTAGAAACATTCTTGTAGCCTAGACAAGCTCTCATCACCCTTTGCCTGGGGAGCTGGGCCATCTCTTGGGCTAATAAAACTGCCAAGAAACTGTCCACTCCACTAGTTATAATGGTTAAACGGGGTGGTACTCATTACTATCTGGTGCAACCTCATAAATGGTTCGCCTGGCCTGGCCTTCTGCCTAGAGGCCTGATAAATAAACACACCCCAATCTGCAGCTAGGTTTCACTAGTCCCCACGAATCTGCCCCCAGAAAGGGCAGAGTCCAGTGCCTTTATTTAGTTACCTGGGCCCCAGGTGTGTAATTTCCAAAGGACTAGGATAAAATCTCAAATCTGGAAGGGGCCTTATAGATCATCTAGTATAATTGATTCTGTTTATAGATAAGAAAATTGGAGGTGTGAAAAAATTATTCTTCTTAGTAATCAGTATCTTGGAGATGCAGAGCTCCCCCCACCCCAGCCCCTTGCAAAGTTCTTCAGAAGGACATTACTGATAATTGATTGCATTGTGTCTTATCCTGGTCAAACCCCAACCCAAGCCAGAACTGATTTGATCTACCCATGCTTGGGTAGAGACAGATTCTTCTGTCTAGCTACTCAAGGCTGGGAGTGGTCTGGTATGGTTGGGGGGTGGTCTGATAAAATAGGCATTTCCTCTGTCAGGAGTGATATCAGCCCCTGTTGAAAAGGTATATAAACTGGGCAACCCAACCCCTAAACTGAGCCAGTTCAGGACTGTAACTCCCTTGTAAGGCATGGCGCCAGCTTGAGAGAAATTAAAAAACGTGGATATAACCTACAAACTCTGTTTTGGGGTTGACAGAGGCAAGGCCGGGGAAGGTTCTTTTTCCAGATAACCCAATGAATGAGGGGCAGGGGCCGGGCTAGAAGTCTTCCACTACATCAGCCTCGGGAGTCAAAGGCTGCCACAGGATGGGAGTCCTGCTGACCTGACCTCCCTCCCACCCCTCCTCTGATCTCAAAGCACTCCCCTCCTGAGGTCCGGGGTGGGGGTGGGGGGGTCTGAATGCACGGGGGCAATCGCCAGGGTGGCCGGGCCTGCAGGCTCCGCTCGGGCTCTGCTGCTGGGGAGGGAAGGTCTTCCAACTGCATTGGGCACCTGGGAGCCCCAAGGCGGGGGTGGGAGGGAGGGAGGGACCTGGGTCCCGATGCCTTTAGGGGAGGCTTCAAAGACCCCCGCAGGGCAGGCAGCGCTGGGGGGAAGGAAGAGTCACGATCTGGAGGAGAATGGCGGCCCCAAGTATCGCGCGGTTCCCACGCACTCGCATTGTCCCGGGGACGGCGCGAGAAGATCACGATCTTACCTAGAACTCCGCTCGGAGAGCCTGATGCACAGCGGAGACTGGCAGTGCGCAGGCGCAACTCCCCGGAGGCGGGACGCTGCCTGAACTCCTAGGCTCGCAGGGAGGGCGCGGAGCCTCGCTCACCCTCCCCTCCCCCCTTCTTCCTCCCAGAGCGCTACGCCGGCCTCGCAGAGCGGGGTAGGGCTGGGAGCGCGCTGGGCTGCAGGTGTTTCTAGAATCCCAGAGCATTAACAAGGAGGGCTAAACTGCAGTAGTCCTTAGAGGGTCCTTAGTCCCACACCCTCAGTTTACCGCTGGAGAAACAGGCGTACGTAAAGAGCTGGCTTTGGAGCTCAGGGCTTGAGTCAATAATTCAGTTGAACAACAATAACAAATATTTGTTAAATATCTTCTGTGTGCCGGGCACTTCACTAAGAGCCGGAAATACAAAGATAGAAGTAAAACAGCCCCTGCCCTCAAGGAACTTACATTCTAATGGAGGAGACAGCATGTAGGCGTACATATAGATACGTCTGTAAATATAACTATCTGCATAGAATATATAAACTATAATATATGACATACAGATATGCATGTAATATATAGCAGATTTATTATATAATTATGCCCAATATATCTATGTATTAGCGCTATATTAAATAACATGTATATCTAGATACCTGTGTTTTATTTATATATCTCTACTAGGTAGATACAAGGTAGTTTTGGGAGGAGGGGCCTTAAATGCTCACCTGAAGCCCTCACTTCTGGTTTTGTTTCCTTTAGTCTTGCCTCCAGTTGGAAACCCTGGAGCGTTGATGCAGTGCCTTCTGATCTGAGATCAGATTTGGGGTGCGATCTCTATGCTGCAGGGTTTGACCCCTCCCCCTTTTATAATTCAACCTTGAGTCCATTGTAAGGTTAGGGTGTTGGCCTTTCTGCTGTGGCTTGTAATGAAAGGGCTAGAGTCAGGAGACGTGGACCTGGGGCATATCACTTCATATTTCTGGACTTTAGTTCTCTCATCCATAAAACGAAAAGAATAGTACAGGGGTAGGAGGCCTCGAGGCCACGTGTGGTCCTTAAGTGGCTTGGAGGCCACAGGTGCCGCACCCCTGGACTAGACCGAGATAGAAAGGCTCTTTCTAACTAGCATTCTAGTCAATGATTTGTTGTCTGTGAAGTTCCTGCCTCAGAAACTGAGCTGTCCCTCCTCCCCCAGTCTTTTGGAAATTCCACAATTGGGCCAAAGGTAGCTAAGATCTCTGGGCACTGGACTTTGCCCTGACTATTATAACCTAAAGATATTCCAGTTGGCTACGATCTGCCGCAACACATTTTAATTGCTGAAAACTTAGTTGCATCCAACATACATGTGAGTATGGAAAACATTCAAACATTTTTAGTGATTTTTTTTTATCACCCAATTTCCTCTCTTGTTTAGATAACCATTCCATATAACAGACTTTTTAAAAAGGATATAAAAAAGCACTTCAGTAGAAGAAATATATCAACCAAGTCTGACAACATATACAGTGCTCCACAACCCATAGTTCTTCGCCTCTCCTATGCCAAGTTTGGTTATTATAATTACATGACTTTCAGTTTCATTAAAAATTTTTTTTCATTTACATTGTTATAGTCATGTATGTTGTTTTCTTGGTTCCACTTACTTCAGTCTGTCATTTCATATAAGTCATGCTCCTAAATTCTTCATGTAAATTTCTCACAGTGCATTAGTATTTCATTACCTATATGTACTATAACTTGTTTAATCATTCCCTAGTTGATGGGCATTTACTTTTCTAACAACCATAACTGCTGCAGAGCCCTAGGGCCTGGGGTGCTATGGCTTCTCCCTTTTCACTAAGGGGCACTTCTGCTCTGGATTCATGCATGGGGTGATAGAATTTAAACTTCTGTCTATTAAACTGTCTTCTATTTAGATGGGTTACGTTGCTTTTTTTCTCACATTCTAACTCTTCACACTTCTACCCCAAAGAAAATTACTTAAAACTTAGGATTGGCTCATGTTTAAGGTTTCCCCAAAAGGTGGAAGTATAAAGCTGTTTATTTCCTCCACACAAAAGAAATTGGAAACACAAATGACAATCACAAGCACACATGGATGGGGACTTAAAACTGGGTTTGGTAGCTTATAACTACTGTTACACCTCCTAGAAGACTGAGACTAAAAGCCATCAATCGGATATGATGCAAGGTTCAGGACCACTGAAGAAGTATTTCATATGCCACCTCAGCTCTGCACTGTTTCCTTCTAGATCCTTGACTTTTGGCAAGCACAGTGTTGGTGGTCATTCTCTGTAATAAAGAAACTCCCTCCCCTGCTAAGGGCAACTCCCACTCAGGTTCCCCAGATCTCCAGAGCTCTGGAACTCACAAATTTACTTCCAAGACTTGCATGTGCATCTCTGGATGGGCTTTTGGTCACCTATACTCACTCAGAGAAGAAATAAAGTAGAAGTAGAATCCAGGGCCCAAGACTCAGGCTCTGGCTCTTCAAAAAAAAAAGGAGAGTGGATTCTATTTTTTCCAACCACCTTTCAGTAAAGCCATGTCTCATCTAACAGCAGAGCAGATGCAAAGTCTATCTTCCCTCCCGTTTTCTCCCCTTTAAATCAGATAGAGCAGTGGACATTAAGTGGCTAGTCTGCCTTTCTTCAGCCAGTCATCTCTCAGCAAAGCAATACCTCTATTCCAATCATCACCCATTCCAGAAAAATAGCTGCAAAATCAAACTCTTTTTCACTTTAGTCAGCTTCTATGTTTTGTCTTCTATACGTATTTCCACTCATCATCTTCTGTGACTGACTTATGCTCAGATTCTTTTCCTGATTCTGTCTTCATTGGGTCACAATCTCCTCAGCTCCCAGTGCCTCAAATCAGGCCTCCTTAGTTAGACAGAGCATCTAACTTTTTTGTGGAAACTTGAGAATTCCACCTTTTTGTCAGGTATGGTTCCAACAGTCCTTATAGAATCACTCCACAGTCTCCAAATAGTTGATTTATAATTTCTCAGTTATAAACTTCCAGACTTTGAAGACAGTCATATATGTAAATGCTTGGATGGATCACAGCACCTTGTCTTTTCCTCAGTCAATGAAGGCTCTGTCTTCATACAGGTCCTCTCAGCACCTCTATCTGAAGGGCAGTTTTCTTTCAGACCCTCAGAATTCTCTGTCTCTCTTCAACATTTTATATGAGAGACCGTGTCTTCTCAATCTGATTTTATCAATGTACCTTAAACAAATGTTCTTTTTTCCGCATCTTTTAGCAACCAGAGTGTTTTCATGTGAAAAGGGCAGAACCTCACCTGTGTATTTTTATATCTGAGGTTATCTTTCCAAAGATATGAGACAAATGACCGCTAGCCTTTTTTTTTTAATTGAAACAAGAGAATGTTGTATGTTTTGTTACTGTGTGACTCTTTAAGTCATGTTCAGCTATTTTTCAGTCTTGTCTGACTCTTTGTGACCCCATTTGGGGTTTTCTTGGCAAAGAAAGTGTTTTACTATTTCCCTCTCCAGCTCATTTTTGCAGATAAGGAAACTGAGGCAAGCAGGGTTAAGTGACTTGCCCAGAGTCATACAGCTAGTAAGTGACTGAGGTCAGATTTGAACTCAGGTCTTCCTGACTCCAGGCCTAGCACTTTATCCACTGAGCCACCTAGCCGCCCCTTTAGGTCACATTTGCATCAAATAAAAGAAGGCAAGGAATAGAAAGGAACTGAGTGACAAGAGAGCTTTGTTTCTTCCTGCTTTTCTTGCAGAGCGTATTTTAGCTCAAATAGAGGAATTTGTGACAAATTCAGTCTAAATCTGCCAGAACATCCCTCCTTCACACCTTTTATCATTATTTGTTTAAAACCTCTCACCCCTTTCCTCTTCTTTATTTTTTCTACTCATTTTTCTCCTTGAACACTTCTTTTATTTTTTCCAGTCTTCATTCTACTTTTTCCTCTTCTCTCATTTACTAAGGTCTTACTGGGAAGCAAAAGACACTTAGGACCAGAAGTGAACGGACCAAATCCAAGGAGGAGAGAAACTTTAGAAACTGCAGACATGGAGGGCAAGGTAGCTTCTTGCTATTTCTTTGTATTCTTAGAATTTCAGAGATTTTCTCCTTGAGTGAGATCCAATTTCTCTTGGTTTGAGCTGAGATATCACCTCTCTCAGAAAAGAGCTCACTCATGCATATGTATTGTTATGAGCTTCATTGCTATACCTTTAGACGACCTTTGTGGAGCATACAGGTACATCTTATAGAAGTAAGAGAGATGAGTGGCACCAGGCTAGGACAGGCACATTTCTTTTGGTTTCAGCAACAAGTGCCCCAGGAAAGCACTTTTCAAAGGTTCAGAACAGATTAGGAGAATTTAGACCCACGACTTCTTTTCCTCAAATCTTCCTCTTAGGAGCAAGGGATCATTCTGGGTAAGTATGCCTATTCTAGGACCCTAGGCAGCTAGGTGATGCAGTGGATAGAGGGCTGGGCCTGGAGTCAGGAAGACCTGAGTTAAAATCTAGTCTCAAACACTTACTGCAATTTCCTCATCTGTAAAATGATCTGGAGAAGGAAATGGCAAACCACTCCCAGTATCTTTGCTAAGAAAACCCTGAATGGGGTTACCAAGAGTCAGACACGTCACAACTGAAACAACTGAACAACAGGGTGAGAATTTGGGGGTTAGGGATGGAGACAGAATCCTAGCAATTTGAGAGCAAAATGAGATGGTTGTTATAGGGAATGAAGATGCATTGACAAGATCAATGTAATTCCCTGAGGACAGAGACAATTTTTCATTTTTTAAATCTGTATCACATTTAGTAAAGTCACTTGCACAGAGCAGGCACTCCATAAGTATGTGTTAGGTGTTCCTATGAGAAACATGTTTTTCATTGGCCCCTAAAAATTAGTCAAAAGTAGACTGCTTTAATAGGAACATTTGGTCATATATCACACCGGGGAAGCCCCAGAGTGCTCAATACAATCAGAATAATATTATCTGGAGAATCTCACCATTTGTAAGGAATCCCCAT